AGACGCTGAGGCGATGATTCAATATCCTGTGATCGTCGTCGGAATTTACACCATTTGAATACTTTCTGAAGTCCCCCCCCCCCCCCCCCCCCCCCTCCCCCGTCCGACCCAGCAGCTGTTTCTTACGTGTGTTTGTCTTTGAGCATCCATCTGGAATCTTTGCGCTCATACATCACGATGGGAGGAACCCGATAGTCTGCAGACATCTTACTACCGTCGAGCTGCGGAATAAAACAGACACATCGATCATCCACGGCGAAGCAGAGCGTTCACATGAGACCAGTACATCAATCTCAGGATTCGTAAAAACGACACGGCCAGTATTTGATGAATATCCTCATCACTGAAGTGAACTGATTACTCGACAACCTGTTCCAGGTTTAATGTTTTCATAAGAACTCGGGCAGCAAAGAAAACTAATGGTGTTAACTTCACTTACCATTAACAGAACTGCATTATCAAACTGCTCAGCGATCTTGTCAGCGATCTTCAGTACACACGGCGTCGGGCTGCGGGGACGAAAACACGAGACATTCAAAGAAAGGTGCAGAAAACGTCCACAGACGCTGAACTGACAGAAGGTTCGAGAGGAGAGAATTCATCGGCTGCAGAACTCACCTACTATCCGATACGCAGGCGTTGGCTTGATAGTATCCCACAATCCTCTGCTGCGTCTGCGAACACCACACGTCCACCTGAAACACACGACAGCCACAGGCGTCTTTTAATCGTCTTCTGACATCACAGTTTCTTATTCTTTTTCTTTCGACAGCAGAAATGTTTCCAGGGGACCGAAAAAAAAAAAGTGCTGAACCTGCTGTAGTTCAAAGTGAAGCTGCTGAAGCATCGAACTACAGATTCATCAGTTTGTCGTTTTGCGTTTTGTATATGTTGTCGTCAAATTGATGAAGTTGTTTCTCTATTCTCACGTGTTTTTACTCCATTTGAACAAGTCTGTCTCTTTTCACACGTGTCTTCAGAACCTGCACTGAGCCGAGCTCCCTCGGCTCCTGTACGTCAGACCTGTGAGCGGGGGCCCCACCTGTGTGAGGGCCAGCTGGGTGATGGGGGCCAGGGGCAGGTGGGAGTGGAGCAGCGGCACACAGTCCGTCACACACACAGCGCCGCCTGCCGGGCTGGACGTCAGCAGCAGCCCGTTGATGCCGCACCGCGGGAACAGAGACGCGTGGAGGAACATCTTCACGTAGGCTCGACAGGACAGCTCCACCTCGCCCATGACGACAGCTGCTGAAGGGGCACGAGCTGCAAAAAGACACGCGACAGAATGTGAAACACGACGATGACGCACATTCAAACAATACATTTGAATCTTAAACCCGGCGGAGGTCGAGGTTTCAGCAGCAGCTCGATCACCTGCTGTTGTTGTTGTTGCTGCACCGGCTGTTAGCATTAGCCGACGAGCTAACCGAGCGGAGCTGCACTGAATCTTACCTGGAGATGAAAATGATTCGAAGGTGAAGTTGAGGCTTCGAGCAGAAGCAGCGGACGGAGATGTTTCAATGAAGTCTACGTGTGTGTGTGTGTGTGTTTTAAAAACCTTGCTCACGAGCTGTGGAAGCTACTGTCTCACTTAGCGGCTAATAACAACTGTTCTTCCGGTACCGCCCACGTGGCTTACATGGAGTGACGCGATTGGCCGGGGTGGGCCTTGACGCTCTGTCATTTGATTGGATTATCGACGCGCCAATCATTTCGTTCATCCGTCTTTCAGCGCAGTGGTCACGTTTGACAGCAGCGCCCTCTAGTGGTGTGGGGGTGTCGCGTGACGGCGTTAAAGTAGGTTAAATGAATGTTTGACAGATAAAGTTGGATTCAATTTAAATTAAAGTTATATTCATTAACACTGGAGCAAACTTTGTTTATATTAAAATATAAATAGTCAATGTTTTATATGTTAAATTATGATAAAGT